ATTGTTTCCAATTATTGACTAATATGCAACATTACAAGAAACAATTTAATGTGTATTTTTTTTGTGCATGTAACTTTGATGTGTGTGTGTGTGTTTTAAGATAAATGCTTACGTGTAGAATTGACAGGCAAAAGACAGCTAGATTAGAAAAAAATTTTTTAAAAAAAATTTTACCATAATGGTCCTCCAGAAAGAAGTAACAGCTCAGTTTCTTCTTCAAAACAAAATTCAGGTGCTGGGTGCAGACCTCTTCACCGCAGCCCCTGCTGCTGGCAGCCAAGCCTGCTCCCTGGGCAGGCCGAGCTGAGCCTGCCTCCGCAGGTGCCTGCTGCACAGAAAACAGACCAAGGAGCATACCACCTCCACTCCCTGCCCCCACAAACTTGCCCCCCGAGAGCTTGTAAAGAACCAAACACAACTGCAAAGACAGCAGAAAAGAGACACTGTAGTGAGACGAGGGGCCTGTTCTTCCTTCCGCTGTGGACTGGGTGTGAGCCCTCAGGGAGGGCAGTCCGCCCTTCTGGGCCTTAGTCTCTTATCTTTTACATGGGACGCCTCTGAGCAAGGAGCCCACCTTCAAAGTGAGCCCTGGAAGAGTCTGGTCCCAGTGACCCTGACCCTTTCCCCCCTCCCCTCAGCCTTGGCAGGGAGCCTGTCCTGTTGCCTTTGAAGCTGATAGGCAAAAACCATTTGCTTCTCTTGAGCACCTCCCGCATCTACACCCTTCTAACCCCCACCCACCATGCCTAGTTCTGCTGTGCCCTCCAACCCCACAGGCAGCGTCTCAGATGCCGGGAGAGGGTCACACAGCCCCTTCTTCACATTCTGTGGCTGCCAGAAGCCTCCGAACAGAAGCTGTTTTGCCAATGCCCTTCTTAAATCGCACCTCCCAGTCCAGAGCTGGGCTGGAAAAGCACATGGGACACTCTTTTCCTTTGACCTGGGCATGGTGCTTCTGTTAATGCAGGCTAAGGTTGAATTCTTTTTGGGCTCAATAGCTCTTATGCTGCTAAAGCCCAGGGTAGGCAGCTAAGAGAGGATCTCTGGACCAAAGGCATGGGATCTTTACTTCGACTCCCCTCTCCACGCTGCTAAAGCCCAGGGTAGGCGGCTAAGAGAGGATCCCTGGACTTTTTCAAAAGGCATGGGATCTTTACTTCGACTCCCCTCTCCAATTTAGTTGTTTTTTCCTCTCATTTTCCTTCTCTGATCATCAAAGCTGAGAGACAGTAAAAAAATTAATGGACATCTGACAGAGACCTTAATGCCTCTCACCTTGGCTTGAGGCCAGGAGTCCCTGGGGATCCACCCTCAAAAGAAATGAACAGGTGCTGGTGAAGGCGGCTTGGGGGAAGGCCGGAGGACCTTGGCCCCTGAGGCACGTGCTGCCTGGCTCCGGCTGCCCTGGTGCTTACTAACCTCTCAGGCCTTCTCTACACCTATGACATGGCAGGAATATGGCATGTTGTGGGGGCAAATGAGGAACTCGGACAGAAAATGAGGATACACACATTTTATCCTTATTTCTTTTCAACTAAGCATCGATGCCTTTGCCATATAGATGGGCTTTTGTCCTTTTACATCACATGAGCCATTTTTATCTTTTACTTAGGAATTTATTTTTACCACCAAGATATTTTCAAAAAAAGAAAAGAAAGTGAAATAAGAAATATACAAGCTTGGTAGAGCAGAAGTAAAAGCTGAGGACTTCTGTATGGGAGATGAAGTGAACTCCTGCACCCAAAGCCACAAGTTCCCAGTCCCAGAGGAAGTCCTCTGGGACTGTGAGAGCTAGGTCAGCCCTTCCTGCGAGCTTCATTTTCAGGCTGGGTCTGGTCTCCGAAGCTCTCTGTGAAGTCAGCCCACCCCAGCCTGGGAAGAACAAGGAGAAGCCATCCGAGCACAATCCCATGACTCAGAACTCAATGTCACTGCTGAGAGCAAAGCGACTTGCTAGGCGGTGGCTGGAGAGCCAACACCAAAAGTCCCAACCCAGCGAGGGTGGATACAGGAGCTAGAAGTGGTATCACGGGTGGCATTTCTTGCTCAATCTTCCAGTGTGCCCCTGAGTTGCAGGAAGTGCCCCTGGGCTCTGAAGCGTTCTCTCTAAGTCTCCTGACGACCATTTATCAAGTTGCTTCCATGTACGAGGCCCACAGAAAGAATGTGCAGTAGTTAAAAGCAGGCAGTTCTTGTAGGTCAGTGACATTTCCATTCAGTGTGTTCCTTTTCTGTTTTGTTCCAGATCTTGCTCATTACTTGACCAACACTATCTTTGTAGCAAGACACTAAAAGCGTATTCTCTGCTCATTTATAAAACCTGAAAACAATAGCAAGTTTTGAAACCACTTATTATCAGGCAAATGCTATTGAATTTCCTGTAACAGGGACAAATGGCAAATGAAGATGCAGGGCTCTGCTCCAAGTTAGCACTCTGAGGCCTGGAGTTTTGTGTTAGTACATGTTTAGGGCTCACTGTAGTAATTAAAAAAAAAAAAAAAAAAGGCAGCCCAAAGGACTCTAGCTTTGAATAGTGTTACTTCCTGTAGTACCTTCTAAGATAAGCTATTCACAAACGCACATCAAGGGGCCAGAAGAAGGTGGCCTGCTGATAAGATGATTTCCTAAGGCTAGTTAGAGGCTGGGGAACATCTGCCCCAAACTGTAACTTGAGTTTGGAACAGCTTATTTGTGAGGACCACGGACTATTTGGATCAAAATAACTAAACCAGAAGTGGTTTTCAAACCTTTTTTTAGCCACAAATCCTTTTGTTCAAATGATATCTCACAGGTAAGTGTGACTATTGGCAACAGATGAGAGAGCAGAGCTGTGAGCAGAGGATGAGGGGTGCTCAGGGCCTCCCTCATGACCACCCCCAACCCCTTCCCTGCCTCAGCTGATCCTCAGAACCCTCGGGTTTGCCAAAGCATGAGCTCCTGCATCCAGCTCCCCAGAAACTGGTGTCAAATCACTGGAGAACAAGTTAAAATGAAGGGCGATGGGAATAGAAGGACAGGCAGTCCTCCGAGGTCTTTTTAGCCCCTGTGTCTATGGGAGAGGGTCGGGTCATTGGTTTGCCAACTCCTGGGACCCAGGTGGGGTCTCGGGTGGGAGATGGAAACAAGGCAGCGAAACACCCAGCGCCAGCGGAGAAGGAAGCAGCTGCTGGTGGAGGACACTTGCCCTGGAGTGAATCCACTCGCTTTTAAACCCAATTCTGCTCTTTGCTATCCCAAACGCTTTGAGTACCTTTTTCAACTGGTCTGTAAAAATAACCCTCCTATGTCATGTAGGACCAAGTCAAATGAAATAATGGGCAGGGAA